AGATCATTGAAGAAAAATGGCCAGGGGGCGGGGAGTTATTCTTTTTGGTGTTTCAAATTATCAGATTTCATGTTGGGGCTTGGTGGGAAACGGTAAGAGGAGAAAGTGAAATGATGGAGGAGATAGATTTTCTTCACATCTCTAGGGTGAGGCGGAAGGCAGAAAGATGAAATGATGGAGGAGATAGATTTTCTTCACATCTCTAGGGTGAGGCGGAAGGCAGAAAGATGGCGTGTTCGAGATGAAGAGCAGCGTGAGGAAAAGAAGATGTTGTGTTCAGGTTTGCAATGATTTCAGCTATAAATGTAGCCGAAGTCTAAGTGGAAAGTGGCACGATTTTTGAGAAAAAATAAAGAGAAGATGGCATTTCAAATTATTAGAGATTTCAATTTTGGGGGCAACAGAAGAGAGCTTTTTCGTCCTTTTTTTTCTTGTTCTTTTATGCGTCGATTTTTCCTAGTGGATGAGAAACTGTCAGATGCATTAAATATATCTAGAGAGAGAGTAAAAGCAAGGTTTATTGCAGTGTTTTCTATACACCATTCACTGCTTGATGGTAACCACTTTTGTTATTTCCTTCTATTTGTCTTCTCTTCTCTCTTCAAGAAAATTACCGCTGTAAATATATACAATCTATACATACAAATGTACTGTTTGTAAAAAGCTGAGCATTACCTACTGCTGATATTTTATTTCCTTCAAAAGTAGTTGAAATTTATAGCATATAAAGAAGAAGATAAAAATAACATGAAATAACTGAAGTTTTATCCGAAAATATAAGAATAAAATATATTTCAGAATAATAAAAAAGATTCAAGGAAAAAAAGTGCATAAACACATATGATTGAAACTCCAAAAGTTACTACCAACTAAAAAAAATTTCGAGGGGAGTTGACCTTTATCCTAGAGCCACACAAAAATATTGGAAAACAAATCAATAAGATACGGAAATCATATCAAAAAGATTAATAATAAACCACATATTTTACAGTTTACTTCAACTATAATTTGAGGACCAAAAAGCAAGATCACCAAGAGAACAATTGATAGTCAATTGCTAGTCAACATAATTATAAATAACATAAGATTATTTAGGTAATTATATTAGATTAATTAAATAATTATGTATTACATGATTGTTTGTATTAAATGGTTATCCTATTATGTTCTTTGATGACACCGCATAAAATCAATCAAAGAAATAGGTAAATCATCAATCTTGCAATATGGGGTGGGAGGAAGATCAATTCTTTTAAGAACCAAATCGCATCATGTTAGTGCTGGATTACCTTTTGATGTTTAGCAGATATTTCAGCAACTGCAGCTTGCAATAAACCTCGCATGTCTTCCAAAACCTGAAATGTGAACACCATAACATGATGGCAACACCTTAGACATTCTTCACAGCCACATGATGTACATAGTAAATCTATATATGTTATTAGTAACAATAACAATTGGAAGAATAAATTTTGACAAACATAAAATGAATCCAGTAGGTAAATATCAAGAAAAGATGCCACAACAATTCAACTTTCATCGTTTACGGGAATATGTTTCTACTGTATCTTAGAGTTGTTTGAGGTTGTAAGATGGATTTGAAAAACAATTTGAAAAAGTAGGTGCATAAATTTGAAGAAACATAAAGTGAAACAAGTAGGAAACTATCAAGAAAAGATGCCACAGCAATACAACTTTCATCATGTACAGGAATATAATCATTTTCAACTGTATGTTAGAGTTGTTTGTAGTTGTAAGACGGATTTGAGTTTTTTTAAAAAGTAAAAATGTATGAAAAAATACATGCATGAATAAACACATACAAGCAGACAAAAGATTCAATTTTCATCTTTCAAAAGAACATTAAATTTCAACTTTTTTCGAAAGTTAAAAAATGAAAGTCTAATCATCTGCTCAACGACCACAAATAAAATGATAAATGCCAGAGTTACTCATATGCATAAACACATGCAAGATGACATACAGGGTTAGCGTAATCCAACAGCTTAACTTTGAATGAATGGTCTCATTCAAGTCCTGTAATTATAAAAAACTAATAATGCTATAGCAAATTAGCATCTGAATGAGCATAACTATCTAATACCTGTTCCTTCTCCAAAAGTGACTGCTGTAATGCCTCGAGAGCATGTTCTTTAGGTTGCAGTGAGACGCAGTTCTTCAATGTTGTCCCGGAGTCTGTATGAAAATGGTATGACTAAAATACCAAAGCAAATATTTTTTTTCAAAAAAAAAAAGCATATAATAGAAAAGATCACATTCTAGAAGAGAATATTGAAACAGCTTTATCAGAGCATGACTAAGACATGGAAATCATAGCAGTGAAAGCATCAACCCAGGTTCTAGTGCTGCCTCTCTGCATCCATTGCTTTCAATGCTTCATTTGCTTGCTGCCGTGGGCGCTCCAACTCTTGCTGCAGAGTGGACTGTTGAGATTATGCTCGTTCAGCTGCTTCGTTCACTTCATGAAATCGGGCCTCAAGATCATCTTGATCCAATTTATGTTGAGCTACACAAAGAACATCATCATATTCAGATGAGAGAGAGTAAATACTTCCTGATGAACGTCATATGTTCGGAGGAAATAAACTGTGGTCAAGAAAGGTAAACTAAGTGATGGTCCTTTTAGGGAAGTGACAATACTAAAAGTCCTCAAACATCCAATGCCAGCCATGATTGTCAAATTAAGTTTTATTTGAGGACGATGCATCATTATTAGCATAAAGTAAATCCTCCATTGCATATCAAAAGAAAGTAACATTTCACTATTAAATTGTTGGGCATCAAACCTTCAGCAAGTTTGGTAGATAGTTCCTGGACTTTAGCATCTGCCTCCCAGTGTGCCTCTCGAAGATGCTTCAGAGCCTTCTCTACTGCAGTTCGTATTTGTTTTTCTTCCTAAAGCTCCCTACTCAAAGATTCTCCCTTTCCAAGGAGATCTTTCACCTCCACAGAGTCACCTCTTTCCTCCCCACCTGCCACACTTTTTGGGAGAGCCCTAGTATGTTCTGCTTGAAGATTTTTCAATCCATTAAACTGAGACTTCGACACCTCATTCTGAAGTTTCAGTTCAACCACCATTTGTAATAGCTGATCATGACTCCCTTCTGAATATGGAATGCTGTCATTTAGTCCATTTTCTTTGGCTAAGTTCCATTCTTTATGTGGTCAAGGTACGCGTAATGCTTGTCGCCACAACCATCTCACCGTTCCCCTTCTAAACACCTAACAACACAAAAAGAAATTTAAAAATAATAATAATAATAATAAGCCAATAAATATAAGAAACAACAAAACAAGAACTGAGAAGACAAAGAAAAACAGAAACCTTTGAATTGAAGTTTCGATGGGAACAATTTATTTGAAAAGCGAAGGATGTTGAGAAAAGGGATTGACATCATCGGGTGTAAAAGTGAAGGTTTTAATGGTGGAAGTTTACAGCGTCAAGATTATTCAAGATAAATGGTCGGGGGCCCGGCAGAGATGTTCTTCCATTATATCAAATTATCAGAGGCTTGGAGGTGAATGAATCAGAGAAGAGAGAGTGAAAGAGGCAAGGGGGTTAGATTTTCTTTACCCTTTGCCGGTGGCAGTGAGCAGATGAGGAAGGAGGCAGACGATGGTGTGTTCGAGATGATGAGCCCAGTGAAGAAAAGAAGATGGTGTGTTCAAGTTGGTAAATGATTTCAACTATAAATGGAGCCAAAGTCAAGTAGACAGTGGCGTGATTTTTTAGAAAAAAGAATAAAGAGAAGAGAATTTTGGAGGGGGACGGAAGAGAGAAGAGAGTCTTTTCTTCTTTTCTCTTTTTTTAATGAGTGTCAGCTCTTCCTCTTTCCCAAGCCAGGTACTGGAGAAATTGTCAAATGCTATAAATGTTCTCCAAACAGGAGGCTTATTGTCATCTGTCAGGATTTGCCAGTTGTATTCTGTTTATACATATATTCTTTATTTTTCAAAAAATTATTAACGTACGAGTTTGTCAATGATTTCAGCTATAAATGTAGCCGAAGTTTAAGTAGAAAGTGGCACGATTTTTGAGAAAAAATTAAGAGAAGATGGCATTTCAAATTATCAGATTGCAATTTTGGCCGGCAACGGATAAGAGAAGTGAGTCTTTTCATTTATGGGTCAGTTTTTCCTGGTGCATGAGAAAATGTCAGATGCATTGAAAATATATATACAGAGAGAGAGAGAGTAAAAGCAAGGTTTATTGCAGTTTTTTCTATACACCATTCACTGCTTAATGGTGACTACACTTCTTTTCTAAAAAAATATATATTTTATTTCCCTCTGTCTTCTCTTCTCTCTTCAAGAAAACTACCACCGTAAATATATACAGTCTATACATACAAATGGCTACTGTTTGTAAAAAGCTGAGCATTACAATTACTCCCCTCATAAGTACCATTATTATGGAACAACATTGAGCAAAAATTTCTCTAAGACGAGATTGTTTATAACCCAAACTGATTTTGTACAGATACTCCGATGAACCCTTCATTGACTTGAAAAAGTAAGATAAAAAAATCTCTTCAAGTCATGAATAATTAAAAATGCTGCTATTTTAATCAAGAAAAGACCTATCACACAAAAAGAAGAAAACATAATTTTTCTTTATAAGCATCAGAAAATACAGAAACAAGAAGAAATTGTTCTGGAAAAGATGAGAGTCATAACCTAATCATATGAAGATTTTCTGTGGTTGCTTGTGGGAGAATAGTAATTTTTGAACACTAACCTGTCTCTGTTCTTTTATGCTTCTCTCTCTCTCTCTCTCTCTCTCTCTCTCTCTCTCTCTCTCTACATGGCTTGCAGGTTTCAATAAATATTGTAAAAGAAAACATAGCCGAGAAGAGAAGTAAGGGGTTCCTTATTTGCCGGTCTTAGAACCCATTTTTAGGTTTTTTCTGTTCCTCTATCAAGAAACTGAAAGAAGAAACAGAATCGAGAAGAGAATGAAGAGAATCCATTTCTAGGTTCTCTCTCTGTCTCTCTAGAAACTGAAAGAAGAAACAGAAACGAGAGGAGAATGAAAAAACCCATTTCTATGTTCTCTCTTTCTCTCTTTAGAAATGGAAAAAAGAAACAGAATGGAGGAACCCCTTATGTGCTTATGAATCTTCTTCTTCTTCTTCCAGCTGATATATTTCTACTCTGCTTCTCTTCTCCCTTACTTTCTCTTCTCTACCAGGTTCTGGATATTTTGAAAGAAGAAAGTGTTGAGGGTTTTTAAAGGTTCAAATTAGAATCTTTTTTTTGGCCGATTATCTCATAACAGTTTAAAATAAATTAAATAATTTGAAATTGTAGATGTAATAGCAATTTAATTTCATTTCATTTCATATAATTGTTACATCAGATCCGGGTTCATTTCATTTGGTTAAA